GGTTTTTGGAACCAGAGAATGCCAGGATTCTTCTGTGAGTTTATGGAGAGAGAGAGTTTCCACAGAAAGACTGATGCTCTTGCTCACACTGATGAGTAGGGATTCTGAGCCAGAGTCAATTTCCTTTAGTAAAGGAATGATAGGTAGCATTTTCTAGATTCATATTCACTACATTGCTGTGCATCTTACGTGTCATAGGAAGTCTAGAGTAGGACTGAACAATCATTAAAAAAAATGCAGTTCTGAAAGAAATTGTGAGAACAATTGGCAATTCCTTCCAAACCAATTTAGATACCCAAACATCACAGCAGAGTCTTAATCTTTTCACAGTGAAAAACAGTTGCCAAATATTACATTAAAAGTCTAGAATTGTAGTAAGCACACATGCAGATTGCTTCTTTTCAATTCACTTAAAAATGATGTATATTCATATGCAAAAAGTAGACATGAATGTCTCAGATTATTTTGCTGTATTGAAGTGGCTAATCTTGTTATTGTTTTGTTTCCAAACCATCATTATATCTCCTCTCCTATATTTTTTTTCTTTTCTTTCTGTAATACAAGCAGTACTTAAAGGAATGGGGAAATAGAAATAATTTATATCTGAATTGTTCTTTTGGTATAGGGAAACCCTGAAACACTGCTCAGCACATGCTTTAAATATCTGGTCCTGGCTTTTCCAAGGTGTTCTGTAAACTGTGTTCAGGCTCCTATGACATCTTTTCCATTGGAAACTGACATAAAGAGGTAGAAAATAATTTATTGTTTTCATTATAATGTCTCTGACTACAGCTTTAAGTGCAAAAATGTTTGGTATGATAGGCGAGCACTAAATTAAAATGTCACTTTGTCACTGTCTCAGGAAGAAGGGATGGATGGAGAGTAGGAGGTATGGAATAACACAGCTTCATGATCTTCATGAATTTCTATCGAAACGAATGCAATCATCCATGCTGTGGTATTTAACAATAAAGATCAATAGTTGAGCCTCTTTTGATATACTGCATAAGCTTCAAACAAAAAATGTATTAAGCTAGCCCATTTTATGGGATTCTATGTGTGTACTTATTGACTTTTCTTCACATTTTGAGCAGTATAAAAGACACCAGTAAATAGCACCATAGTCAAAGGGGAAAAAATGTAGTGGTTGTGCTTACTGAAATAAAATTGCTTCATATTCTAAATGCGTACATCTTTATCTACTGAAAGTTTAAAAGAATATGATCTTTTGATGTTTAAAGATGAAGCATATTTTGAAAATTATGCCTATAGTTTTATCTACATCTTTGAGTTTGCTTACATATCAAATTTCCCCCACATTAATTTAATTAAAATTGTGTGTAGCTTTTGGATTATTATTTCAATTTGCCCTAGAATGTACTTAAAATTCCAAAATAACATTATAGTATAGAGCAATGGAATTATTTGAAAAGTAGGGAAAAGACCATTTTCTAATTATGTGTCATTTCATTAAACTAAAGGAGAAAGAATGACTATGATTATGTTAACAGTGCTATAATCAGAGTTTTTGGAGTTTGCTTTAGTAAATGAATAAGAATATACTTGACATTAGTCATACAGAAATGACTGCTTATAATTTCTCTTGTTTCTTAATCAAGTAAGTTTTTCTTTTCTTTTCCCTAACAACTCATGGATCTAATTATATTGTCATTGCTTTTTGCCCTACCATGCAACTGTTAAAATTCAAGAGATTTTTGTCTTAAAAAGTTGTGCTTTTAAAAAAGTCACCAATTTTAAATCATGAAGGATATTGATTCCATTCAATTGAATGGCCTATATGTTTACTATAGATAACCTCCAGTAAAAGAGAATGGGTACAACATTATATCAGAGAACTTAAAACAGCTCAAAAGCTTGCAGAGGATAATGTGTGAGTTTTATGATTAATAATAAGGTAAGTGCTATATTAATATTATAAAGAATATGTTATAGAGATGTGAATATGGGCTCATTTTGTTTTAGCCTCATTTTGTTTTGTAACTAATACAAAATGGATTGCTATAAGAAAAATCAAATCAAAAGGGCAAAAAATAGGAAGAAATTTGAAGTAATAATGCATCTAGAACAGAAGAAAATAATTTAAAAATGGTAACCTGAGAATATGTCTAATTTTGGAAATATGGGTTCATCAGTATGATAAGGACTCGTTATACTTTTTAAGGTGAGAGACAGCGGACTTGAATAGTGGGAAGACAGAAAAAAGAAAATGTGGGCCTTTTATTGACATTACAAACATGCTAAGGACTTTGAACTTTGTCTTATGACTAAATAATCTCATGGCGAATCACCAAATATTTTTGAAAATAAGATAATCTTTATAAACACAACTGTAATGATTATAAGGAAATATTAGAGGATTTTAAAAGAGAATATTCATAACAACAGCTAAAATGAGGTGCTAAAGGCTTATATAATTTGAGGTGGATAATGCCACTTCTAAAATAGGTATGTCCTCCAATTTTGAAGGCTTATCAAAAGTAACATGTACTTCTTATTCACTCAAATTCTAATGCACATAGATTGAGAAGCCTTCTCCATAGTTATTCAAGTACTTTAACTGTTTTAATCTTAAGATGCCATTATTCTCTAGGACCTGGGTTTCCCCTTCTATTTTTTTTCTGAATGGAAGATAGAGAGAAAGGAGAACAGATTAAGAACATGAGGTTCTTATGGGCTATAACTGAAAAATGGCCAGATCCAAATTGCAGTGTTCATCTGGATATGTTTTGTTGCGAGTGAGGTTGAAATCATCGAATAGCCATGCACAAGTCAATAGATGATACAAGACTTGGTGAGCACATTGCAGTTTCTGCCAGTCTTCCCATCTTGTACTAAATAGCTATTTTACTCCTCTTTGCACATGGAAAATAAACTCATTCTCTCCCTGAAGGGAAAAATATAAAGTCCTATCAAGTCAATTCTTTAATTCAAAGGCTAAAATCTCTGATTATACAAAGTCCTTCTTCTAGCGAGTCTGAATATGGATCCTTGCAATCTTATGAACTGTGAACTAAAACAATCTCCCTCTCAGAGTCTCCCAACCATTGTAGGTAAACCATGTTGCTTCAGCTTGCCGTGACGTGTTACAACTGTTGGCATGCTGGGAAATGCTTCAGAACCAGCTCTCCAGGGCAAGGAGAGGGAAGACGTGGTTTGTAGTGTTCACCAGTTTCCCTAGTGTAAATATACCCATCATATTTGACTTCAAGCAATTATCTTTATTGACGACAATGAAGATGGAGTGGGGACAAGGGTTCCCTGAGGAACTCTCACCAGCCTACATGAGCTGGCTCCTAACTAACATTAGTTCATCTTTTAAAGTAGAAAAGTAGCACAGAATAAAGAAGTAGTTCTCTACTTTGGAACATAACCTGAGAAGAGTATAAATCATAAATAAGTAAATAAATAAACATGAACCATAGGGAACAGGGACTGATCAATATGGCAACCATTTGAGGATCCAGTTCTGGTGAGGGATTAATACTGAACATGTCATTTTGACACTGCTGTGGAAACCAGAGAAAGAACTTAAAATTGCACTGAAAATGTGTAATTTTGATGGAGCATTGAGTGACATTCCCTGAATTTGTCAAGCATTCTCTGCATCATTTTTTTTTTTTGTTAATTCAGTTCTTCATCCATGTACTCTGTTTACCCATGGTTTTGGTCAGATCTTCATTATTAGCTTACTTTTCACTCATATTTTGTACAAAAACAACTGAGAAAAGGGTCACTATCAACAGAGAACTGAAACTATAAGCTATGTTCACCCAAAATAGGTAAAGATTTGGACCGTTGTGACTGTTCCAGAATATTCAGAGTGTTCAGTCACAGTGGGACCCACTGGCTCAAACACTGAGAAAGCCATGATTATATCATAAGCATGTTAGAATCATTTCCTCAAGAAAAATATTTAATGTTATAACTGGGGTCTACAAGACCACACTCTTTATCAATAATAGACCTCAAATAAAATCTGTTACACTCCCAACAAGTTTCTAGGTAACCTGTTTCTGAAACCCAGACCCATCCTACCAACACCATGAGTGGTATTATTATATTCATCCTTCACTTTCTTTCCAAGCTAATGGTAAAAATGGCTACTTTTCCTTGAGTCCACAGATGGTAGCAAACAGGTTCCAGTTCCTTTCTCCTCTTCACTACATGATGTGAGCATCTCACTGACAGACACAACAGGAATTCCAGGCTTCAATGTGCCTGAGCTTATGCACACCATTGATGCTGAGTACAAGGTAGCTCTCAGCATGAAAACCATATCACTCATTGCCTCTAACCACCATTCCTGGTTTCCACCCACTGAGGAATGTGAAGGAAGTCAATGAGCAGTTTCTCAGCATGCAAAGTACTGAACAGATCCTCTGTGAAATCAAGACATCAGTTTCTGGAATGATTCATTAAGTTACCCAAGAGGTTTTTGGTTTTGTTTTTTTTTTTCCGCATTCTCTAAGTGGTGCACTACAAATTTCATCAAAAAACCATCCTGTACTGGCACACGTCGGGATAAGTGAACAAAATAATGGTGAAGTTCATGGAAAGTGAAAGCAATGTTAAAAACAAATATCTTCTTAATTTCAGAAAGAGAAAGTTTTTGATGAAGACTTCAAGGAAAACATCTAAATTCTTTAGCCTTATCTGTCTTCTTGAATTGTTTCTTTAGCTCCCTCAGAATTTGCATCTTTTTAGCCTATTGTAACCCCAATCCCAATCCGAAATAGTTCATGTACATGTAAAGCACTTAGTTAATAAACATGTAGTTTTAGATGGAAAACACCACATATTCCTCATGTCCCAAAATGCATGCTTTCTCTCTTCATACATACACACATATACCATGGTAAAGCAGAGCAAAGGTATCATAGTAATAACTTCTAAAATTTAGTAAAGAGAGAGTAATAAGACACAAGAGAATCACAACAGTTACCAAATTCTACTGTGCATCTACTGAGATTATCTCTTACCTGGGTTGATGAAGTTTCATTAACAGGCCTTAATTCTATTATTTGGCATGTCCTTATTTATATCCTGTCTTGTGCTCCATCACCTAGAAGTCTTTCTGTGACTACTGAAAGCTTAGGCTACACTCAGTATCTGCACTCAAGGCACCAGTGAGCCTGAAGGAGTCCTGTTTGCTGATTGGTGACTCAGTACTATAGCAGTTTCACAGATGTGTTACATCACAGTAAAAAAATTAGGTCAACAGGATGAAGCAACTTATTGTGATGAGGAATATAGAAGAGCAAAAAGGGTCTGTAGGTTTTAGTCATTGCTTTATTTGGTAGGAAAAGAGCAAATGTCCTATTTGGTCTTAGACATATTGATTCTGAAGGTGCCATTAAGACATTGAATGAAAGAAGACATTCTCTATAATATTAGGCAAAAGGATTTAACAAGCAGGAAAGATAAAAATAAAGTACTATATAAGCAAAAGTATACACAGAAGTATGCATCTCACTGCTTTCTTAATTCAGAAATAAAAACATTATTTTTAATCCAACCAAATTGATACTACACAAAGACACAAACTAGCCAGATAAAATTAAAATAAAAGCAATGACAATATCCTTTCCTTTCCCATCCTTTCTAATCACAATGGGAGGAGTAGGAATTACCTGAAGATTCGGCGTATGAAGTTTCATCATTCTAGAGATTATGGAACAGGGCAAATGTACGGCAAAATAAGGAAGAGTGTAATGCCTCACCCCTTTCTTGTAGTTGCTCAAAGAAATTATCCTCATTGATTAGTCAAGGGATGCAGAAAAAAAAATCTGCCATATTTCTCTGCCACAGTTTCTAGCCTACATAATAGCAAAACAGAAAACTTGATATATGGCTCGTAATATTAGATTGCTGTCAACAGAGGACAAAAGAATCTTCATTTTTATAAGGTTAAATGAGAGTTATCATGTTTCTTATTGAGAGTAGGATAGCACACACCCACACCTTACTTGATCCACTAATTCTTCAGAATTACGTTAGTAAATGTCAATACAAATATTATAGTTCAAAAGCCGGGTGTGACAGTATGTGGCTGTCACACTCAGGAGGTAGAGGCAAGAGGATTGAGAACCCAAGGCCAGACTGGGCATGGGCAATATGGCATGATCTTATCTCAAAAAATATTGTAATTCAAACAGAAGTTATTTCTGCCTATATTATAATCACTGTGCTATAAGAGGGTTATATTAGCTTCCTTGTCACTTAAGACTTTCTGGTAGTTAATGTTTTGATAATTTGGTGATTAAAGCCAAATTAAAAACCAGAGAAACCCGAAACCCTCTCCCATCATGAGAACTTTTCCTGCTTATACAGAGGAGGGTAGAAAACAAGGTGATTGTAGAGACTAGATAATGAGATTATATTTTTCACAGATATAATATCTGCTTGAAAAACTCTTAAAAACATTCTTATTTATAGAAAGGAAGAAAAAACCAAACTTATTGTTAAGAAACAATGAACTAGGATTTGCAAACACATGTCTACACACACACACACACACACACACACACACACACATAAGTACAATATTATAATGAATATTTTGTTTTAGTGGTCACCAATTATTTGCTAATTACCACATCCTCCTGCGTGTCTTCAGCCCTAAATCTTTGTGACCTCTTGTGTTCATCAGACCATGCTGATTTTCTGGCACAGCTTCTTTGTGCTTAGTCTCTCAGATTCCCCTCTTTATTAGGCAATTTTTTGTTGCTATGACCAAAAGACCTGACTAGAACAACATAGAGGAGGGAAACATTTTGGAGGCTCATGGTTTCAGAAGTCTCAGTACAAAGACAGCTGACTCCTTAGCCTGGGTCAGAGTGAGGCAGAATATCCTGGCAGAAGGATGTGGTGAAGGAACACAGCTCAAAACATGGCCACCAGGAAGGAGAGTGTGAGCAAGAAAGTGCAGGCTCTGCTCACCAGAAACAGAATGTAAGCCTCAAAGCCACACCCCCACTGAACTACTTTCTCCAGCCATACCCTACCTGCCTATTAGTTACCACCTAGTTATTTCATCAGTGGATTAGTGCACTGAATAGGTTAAGGTTTCCTTAATCTCATCATTCCAACCTCTGAACGTTTTTGCATTACCTTTACATAAACTTTTGGGGACACCTCAGTTCTAGACCATAACACACTCATTCCTAAAGTTATTTGAATGTATGCCCTTTTGTGACATTTCACACATTATAAACAGAATCTTTTGGCAGCCTCTCTCTTCCATCCAGGGGGTATTCTAATTGCCTTTCTTTTTCATACATTGTTTTCCTCTTTGTATTAGAAAGTTCTGTAGGTTCTGCGAAGTCCTTTTTTTTGGCAACCATAATTGTCCCAAATAAAATACATGACATTGTGTTCTGTAAATGAGAATTAATTGAGTTGAAGATAAGACTAGAGAGTTGAAGTTAGTTTTGAAAGTTTTGGAATAGCTGTTATGTGGTTATGAAAAAGGGATGGAAAGATTGTTAAAGAAAAAAAATTGCTTCACTAAAGTTGTAATCATAAATGTATAATGGATATAATAATGGGAAATGTGAGATTTTGTCCAGTAGCATTTCCCAACCTGGGAAAAATAGAGATGGTTGGATTGGTCAATACGTGGGCATGGCCAAAGAGGAGCCATCAGCAGAAGGTGAAGAGAGACCGAATAGATAAAAATTAGTAGGAACAAAGTCACCAAGATAGCAATCATGAGATTGGTCATCCTTGGACCTGGGAGAGAAGTAAGACCAGAAAGGTTTGACATTCTAATGCAACAATAGACTAAGAAGAGTTGAAGTGATTGGGGGCCAGAGAAGGGAGTAACAGCAGGTCTGGCTGAATGGAAGAGAAGGACTTATTATTAGGACATTTGTTCTAAAATGGGTAATTTCAAGTTCTAGAAAATGATTCATTAAGCTGATTCATCCCACCAAATTTACGAAAAAGGAAAAAAAGCATATGATTATATAATAAAGAGAAAAAGAGAACATTTGATTTGGGGAACATCAACTTGATTTATCATTCATGCTAGTTTCGTAGTAACAAAACTGTTAAACTGAAAAGCTCTAAATCAGCAGCCCAAGTAGATTTCATTTTGGTGGCTGTGTAATTAATTAAGGCTAATTCAAATGTACTCTATAAAAATAATCAGAGGTTAAAACTCATATTTAAACCCAGTTATTAATGGATGGATGGCTAATAGTCATGTTTAAATACATCTGGGCTTTAAGTTCAGAGAGAGTGACAGAGTGTACCAGTCATTTACACACTGATGTGTCTCGAGTGTCAAGGCCTTCAAAGTACTAACCTCTGACTCACCTTGGGTTTGCTGAGCTTGAAGAACTTTAAAAAGAACATGCTGAAACTAAGCAAAAGGAAACAAATCAGCTAAATATCACCTATCATTTAAATAACTGAATCATTGTTCATTGAGGGTAAAAAAATAAGGTAATAAATAGATAAATAATAAATGCTATTTTGGAATCTCAAGCTAAAGAACTAAGAAAGCTAGTAAAAAGATACTCCTTCTAAAAATTTTTCTTTATTTTTAATCTATCCTATGTCCCACCAAGTTTCTTAAAAAATATGTATCCTCTATGATTTTGGTTGCCTTTATCTCTTAGTATGTGTGAAATTCTTTCTTTTTATTTATATAATTTTAGCCTTTATCTCTTAGTATGTGTGAAATTCTTTCTTTTTATTTATATAATTTTAGCCTCTTGAATCAGTTACTTACCTTTCTTTTCTACTGCTTTTGTCTTAAAATAATACACAGAAGAAACTCATTTATTCTTGGAGGATAAAAATAAAGATGAGCACACAGTAATGTAAAATGAAAGCCATCCCAACTGTTGTTATTGAGAGGCATGTGAAACCTATGTGTTGTAAACATTAATGCATGGCCATATGTGTTACATTGTGAGCAACAATCTTACAAGGTTTACCTGCCTTTTAAGGCTTTTGCACATTCTGGTTCTAACCTTTGAAATCACCAAGGAAATCTGAAATTTTGACAGTGCTCTATGGTGAAATCTGAAGCTATTGGCAAAGAGTCCTTTAGAGAATCAACACTTTTTCTACATAGATGATGGTTTTTTAAATCGTTCACAGTCTAAAGATGGACTTCAATTAACTGTCTTATATTTCAGAACTGAGATTAATTTGAAAATATAGTAAACATGCCAACTGACAAAGATTATAACTCACTGTAAACTATTTACCGACTAAAACTCATTAGTCCTTTTTAATGCAAGCATGTTGCAATGTTAATGGTATTAGATGTTCAATAACTGATATTACTGACATTCTGAATGAAGATGTTATTTAATCTATCCTCATATCTTAAACAAGGATGGATGCTTCTCTGTTATAGTGAATGTCACTGACTTTTAGACATTTGGTTCAAGGCAAACATTTTCCCAGAGGAGAAAAGTTTTAAAAGGGAACATGAAATGACAACCATAGAAAGAAGCAAATTGAAGGGTTGTAAATAATGTCATATGTGGTATGATATAACATTTCCAAATGTTGAATTTAAACTATGTAAGTTGCATCATTAATCCAGAATTCTCCAAGAACTTTTTCCGAACTTTAAAAATGGATTATTATCTTATAAGAAATATGTAGTTTAAAAGATTTCTAATTTAAACAAATTTGAATGCCAAATCTCATGAAAGACTTATGAGCGCTATGTGTCTATTATTCAGGAATCTGTCCTGGAGAAAAGGTTTCAAAGATGTAGCCATCAACAAAATATGTGTTTAAGCATATAGCAAGCACTTAGTATTGTGTGTCTAAGATGTGTTGGTCTAGAAATTTGGGGTAATGATAAAATAATTATTTAGTGATTGCCTTTTAATATATATTTAGAATGTGTAAAACTCTAAAAGAGAAAAAATGCATTGTTTGTATTAAGAATTAAAGCTCATTTCCTAGTAACATCCATAACTATAAACTCTTAGTATGCCTCATTAAGGTTTTCAGAAACTAAATTTCATAAAATTTCTTAGAATTCATCTTTAGGATTGTCATGTCAATCAAAAGGAAATAGGATTAGTTCAAAGACCAAGTCCGACTTCAGAAACACTTAATGCCATGATCACTTCTATGTGTACATTGCTATATCCCAAAAAGGCTGCTCAGAGAA